TCATATATAAGTAATAGAAAAGTTATGTTAGATGCCTCACTCAGACAGAATGGGGACAGTTTTGTATCTTTTGTCTAAAAAAAGATAAGGGACTCCTTTTAAATGAGCTGTTGACCAGTTCTGAGACTACTGAATCAGGCAGCCGCACCTAGCCTTCGGGTTAGAAAGCAAGGGCTTGATTTGGGAACCTCGTGAACCAACAGACCTCCTTAGTTTATGACTTTGTGAAACAATAAAAGTTTTAAATTGAACATCCAGGTCTGAGCCTGTGCTTAATTCAGTCCTTATATAATTCGGCACGCACTCACACAGGGCTGAATCCAAATCGAATACTGCCCATTTTGCACATCCCTACTAGCTGAATGTAGGACCTTGGCTACTGAAAATAGTGCTAACACTCCACCCAAGCTAATTAACACTGCTAAAAAGAACTAGCTCAGGCATTCCTGGACATGACTGCATTGTGCTTTGCACACATTACCCACACTTTTTGGTACTAAGTATATAAAAGTAAAGGAGGAGCAAATATTCTTCAAAGGGTAGCTTTTCAGAAACCTGGCCAAACTTCCATAGGACTTTTGGTCTGATTTAAGTGAAAGCCTTCAGATTGCAATAAAGAAATGCATTTTTTCCTTTTAGAAAGCTTTTATGATTATTAGTGCTTATCTAAGTGCTTATCTGCCTGTCAGAAATTAGAGAAGCTGCTGCTTAGAAGGTAGTGTAATAGATTTTATGGATAATAAAGCAAACTGAAAATAATGAACATTCAGTACAAAAGGTGTAGACTGTTTTTTTAAATTTAAAACAGCATTAAAAATACATCAATCACCAAATATTTTGGCAAGTTTCCTACAAGAAATGAAGCAAAATCACAGTAATTTTAGACCAGGTTTTTAATAGGTTTCTAACAGTCCTGAGAACATAAATTCCATTGAAGGAGTGTGACAAATTATTTTGTTTTCCAACATGTTTACTTAAATTGACTAACCTTGTTAATGAAGAACTACTATTGTATAGCTTTCTCTGGGGCTGTAAATAACATCTTTAATGAGGGATTGTTCTCCTGTAATTAAATTTAAACAGCCCTGCATTGGAGGAGAAGTGCTAAGGAAATTACAAGGGTGGAACAGCCCCTTTTTTGTACTATGAATACTAATTATATGGCATTTATTTATTCATTTATCCAATTGTATCTGCCTGCTAGTAGAGAACATGGGAGGTGATAATCATGAATCCCAAATGTGTGTAGCAGTAAATGACCTCACTTCTTCTCTCTTACTAACTGTATCACTAAGCAAACTTTGCAAAATGTTTATTGTGCATTGTGATTACCACTCCACATTTTTATAACTTAATATAACTAATATAACCAACAGCTTGTTAAAAGCATCAAAACAAACTGCAACTTCATTTATCTTCCTATTTGAGAAACAAGTGGCTTTTTTAGTTCTATCATTAATTGGACCAACTATATAGTTAGGAGACAGATTAGACCCAACTGGATGGTCCAGATAGTCCAGGAATATGTGAGAATCAAGGGATTTCTTGTGATATATACTCTCTCTCCCAGCTATACAGCTGGTCCAATAAAAGATATCACCAAAGAAACCCTTGCTTCTCATATCTTTCCCTGGATCATCATGGCTACAGCAACAATCCAGCCCTGAAACTTCCATATTTGAGAACATTTATAACATTCTATGTTCATGGGTTGTTTTTTTAATAAAAGGTGTAATATTTTGTGTAATTTAAATAAGGGGATCCTTCATTCACATGATACAAAGTTTTTATTTCATTTAATACTAATATACATTTTAGGAAGCTTGCAAATATTCATTTGGGCCCATACAGAAAGGCAGAGGATAATGGAATGAATAAGCAAGTTGGATGTAGTCTATTTAGCTGATTTAGCTGTTCTGACAGTGCTGAAAAGGGTAATTTCTTTAAAGCTTAAGAAGGTATGGGCCGTTCCAATATTACACACACACATCTAATTTCATTTATTTTTTTAAGAAAAAATAAATTTGGCAATTGTGAGATGATGAATCCTGTTTTGCCAATAATATTGCCTTTTACCTGTGTCTCATTATTCTTTAGGAATACAAGATAACCCTTTGTTCACCTTTTTGTAGTTTAAGGCTTCCTTCTCGAGTTTAAAAATCATTAGAACAACTGAGTATTTTTATTCCATTAACAGTAGTATGTGAGGTATGGATAAGAAGACTAGGATTTACCATGAGATTGCAGATTTAGATGTTGGTCCACCACTTCATCCCAGAATGTGCATTAGCACCAGCTGTGTAGAATAGGATTGAAGTACCTTTTACAAGGCTTCATCAGGAATGAAACTTGTTTGGCTTTCATGCTAGAGTAGTGTTATGTTTTTAATATAAAAAAATTTACTCTTCATCCTGTCTGCCTTTTGATCTGTGTTAAGTGTAAGTCTATCTACAGCTTCCATTGTTAGCTGAAGGAAATGAGATACTGTATCTCATTTGTGAAAGTATTGTGATGATTTTTGAATACTCAGAATTGGTTTGGAGATGTCATATATGGTAGGATACTGGAAACCCCTGGGAATGAGTTGCAGAACAGTGTAGACAACTAGTCCTATTTAAAAACCGGGACTTAAATAGCTCATGAAAGGAATGATTTGATTGCAAATGAGGTAGAATGCATTTGCCTTTGAACACTCTAAATTTTTTCCTAAACTGTGCGCATATGCATGTGAACGCGCACGCGCGCACACACACACACCCCCCCCCTTGCCTAATCTTTAATTTTCAGAATTTTGATTATGTTTCTGAGAGAGTATATCACAGAATTGCAATATTTAAAAATAAGAATTGATAAATAATAGCTGAGGTTTGAATTTCTGGTAAAAAAAAATATCCTGAATATGTTGGCTTTCTGGATGCACTGCAAAAAGCCAGCTATGGTAAATGACAGGATTTGTGGGAGGGATGAGATGTCCCAGCAAGATTGGAAAGGGACTTTACTGTTAGCCTGGCGTAATGACTGCCTAAGTTAATTTATTTCTCATAGGTAATTATTTTCAAGTTGTTGGGTTTCAGCACTCTCTGATTCTAATTATTACTGTACCCTGAGCTTTTTGTATGAGGACCTTTTATTTTTATTTTAAATCTAAGTAAACGAATATTCCCACATATATATTGATTTAAATAGTTAAAACATAGGTGAGTTGTGAAATATTAAGTTAAATCACTGTTAATTTTTGTCATTCTTGGGAAAGGTTGTTCAAATCCCTGAATGTATTGGGCAAAATGAATTTTCTTTTTTTGGCAAGGATGTTAAGCAATAAAAACCACATGAGTTGACAAGAACCTTTTTAGAGTTTTTTGTTTGTTTGTTTTAATTAAAGCTTTAATATAACTATTGATATTTTCAAAAAGAATATATACTATTTGTATTAATCTAAAACACTGTGTCAAGTTATATAAAGCCATACTGTAACTGTTTTGAGCAAATTCAGATAGGCACAGATAATCATAATGGCATCTTTAAAAGAAATGCAGGTGCAACTAAACTTTACTTGGGTTTTTCCATAGTTTGCATATATAGGTTTAAACAAATAAAGGTAATAAACTTGACCATTTTCCTAAATAGCACTGAATTACGAGTAGCTATATAGGACAAATAGCCTCCTAGCTCTAGGTTATTATAGAATCTTTTAAAAATTTGAATCTCTAATAAACATATAATTTGTCATTTCATTCTTGTTTTAATTTTCAATTAAAGCTTTTCTTTCTTATTCTTAGCCATCTGATGAAGATACCCTCAGCCTTAATATGCCAATGTCAAACATTATGGAAGAAGATCAAATTATAAAGGAAGATTTGGGTCACAACACAAACTCAATAAAAGGTCTGAATACGAAGGGGATAAAGTTAACAGTAACAGGAATTCTGTATGTAATGCTGTTATGGGTGTAGTCTACAAAAAATCCCAACACAATTTTCTAAGCTTCCTCAAATATGTACTTAAAATACACACTTTTAGTTTACCACATTTATCCCTGAAATATTTTAATTATGAAGCATTTTTCTGTTTGTATTTCTGAGACTATGTACTAACCCCTCAGCACAGGTCAGAAACCTTATTAATCTCATTTTTACAGACTTCATTCACCTACTATCATTAGACTACATTGTTTTCTTTAATTCTAAAATACACCTACTGGCAGGCTCTGAGTGTGTGTATACTTTAGTATTATAAATTACCCAAAGAACTTGTCTGCCTTAGTATTAAAAATGATATTTAAGCCACATTAATCCTACTGCAGGCAAACCCCATCAAGAAGATGTTTTCTGTCCATGTCCTGAAATCATTAAGATGGAAATTCAGAAGTGCCTGCCCTGTTTCCAGATCCCAAATAAATTAAAAAAACAGACACCTCACCTGACCTTTAGCAACATGAATATGGAGAATTGGTTTCTCTGGTGGTCAACACCAAATCGATTTAGGATTGTATAGGTCAAAATCAGTACTTTGAATTTTATTTGAAATTGAATAAAAGAGTCCCTTCAGAACTTGAAAAGTGTTGTATTACTTTCCATGTTTCCATTTTATTTTTTTTTAAAAATAAAAATATAATAGTAAAATTTTACTTTTCTAAATTATGCAACATTCTCTTTATTGATACAAATTATGCTGTTGGGTCTGCACAAACTGAACCAAACTTACTGTGGAAAACAACTATGTGCAAGTGTCACATTAGCCATTAGAGCATGGTGTCTTCATACTTGTAGTCTTTGCTGCTTTTGTTCCAGTGAAGAAAAATCAGTTTCTCTGATTAAGATGCTCACTGAAATTTTGGAGGGCTGATTTTGGGGGAAAGGTCTGCATTACCCATGAGTAAATACAGTATTGGAATAGGCTGACAGGTTCTGTATTGGTTGTTTTTGAGTGGTATTAGAAGAAGTCAGAAGTATTCATAATAATGTAACTCTGAGGTTGGATTAAAGTGCAAATAAGTGCGTCAGGCTTCTGGTTCCTAGACTGTCTTAAATTTACCCTAGTCTGTATTTCCATTTCCATGCTGTTAATGGTATTTGTTGTGTCTTTAAAATAGACTGCTTCCTCCTCTCATGCTGGCGTAGCTTGGAAGCGATTCCATTGACATCAATAGAGTTGTTTGTGAGTTGCACTTGTATAAGGTTGAAATCTGTCCACATATTTGAACATAAAGGCTTTGTGCATACAACATTCACATATTTTTTTAGGTCCAGTCCAGCATAGTCCAAAAGTTTTAAGTTTCTATTTTGACAATTCTTGTGTCCTTTAGATTTCAATTTCAGCTGTGTTACTGAGCCCTACTGCATTTAAGAAGTTCCTTCACTAAACCTGATTTAAATTCAGTTGAACAGTTAATGCTGGGTCAGAAATCATTTTTATATCTTTGTGTTTTTTACTTCATTTCCCGTTAGTGGAATTTCATCAGGGATCACCTCCTCTAATTGACAACGATAAATCAAGAGAAGCAGGAAACCAGTTTGCTGATGGATCAGATACCCTCACTGCTGAATTTATAAGCTACATCAAGGCAAGTCTGATTTATATTGAATGAAAAAGAATCTCAATACTACTTTCATAAGCACAGAGGAAGCAGAAATGACAAACTGCTGGCACAGTGTTATTAATAAGAGAAGTGCAGTTGATATTCATTGTCATCGGTTTAGAGTCACAGAGTGAAAACATAAGCAGATAGATTAATCATCACCATTATTTTAAAGTTGGAAGATCATGTTACCCATAACTCTTATTCTAATCCTTGTGAAAGGCATCTTCTCCTCCCCTTAAAATTTGACCTTGTTTTTTAAATAAAATTACTATATGGCAGTTTTCTCATGGGCAAGTTGTACAGCACTTGCCTATGAGTTTTTCTTATATTTTGAATTGGGCAATTGTTTCGAAGGTGCAAAGTTTACAATGGTGTTTAGGTCTCAAAAATTATGAAAAGATGGTGGAATATGAACAATGGATGTAGCTAGGGAAATATTTTAGTTCATAGGAGAAATGTAGAAATATTTAAAGACAAAGGATATCACCTACTTTTTGGTAAGCTGAACAAAGTACTATGTCTCTAGAAAAATACTTGCAGTAAGATTCAGCAACTGCCTTTCTTAACAGAGTCTGTTGGTAGACGGTGGATTTTTTAATCAATATTTTTCTTATACACTAATATACGTGATCTGCATCGTTGCCAACAAAAGCTAAGGTGGCTTTAGGGTGTGTATGACTGCACATGGGCCAAGTTCTGGCTTTGCCCCTTTACTTTCCTTGTGGGTAGCTAGTTAATCCTTGTAAAAATATTGCTCTTGTATTCTTGCCACAGTTAATGAGCACTTTGGTTATCAGCCTGCTGTGTCCAGCTGTGTAAATTTCATCTGCCTGGGGAATGGTTTAGTTTGCTTACACGTCTGGCTGTTTTTTATAATGGTTCTATGAATTGTTATCATAAATTGCAGAGTTATACCCCTTTTGTGGTTTTTTGAGTTGAGTGCTCCCTGATTTCCTTATAGTCTGCTGCTTTTTTTAATTGTAGCATTGGGTTTTGCGTAACGTATCTGGGTAATATGTCTTTGAGAAAGTTGCATTAAAATCCATATAAATCACTAATGAATACAGTCATATTGTAACACATGAAATTAATTTAGTTCATTATGTAATAGAGCTTACTTGATTAAATCTGTCCAAAAATGATTTAATACATAGATAAGTTGATCAATAGAAGGATTTCTCTGGAACGTTATACGCCAAGCTTTGAATGGTGTTTGTTTGCCTATGAAAATATATTTGCTGGATAGTACTGCTGGGTTCTATTTAAAACTAATGTATTCCATTATGGTCACAGGCAAGGTGGATTTGGTTTAAATCAAATCAATTTAAATAATGATTTAAATCACAATTTAAATCAGGAAACCTTGGTTTAATGATTGTTTTCTACTAGACGTGCATTCTTGTTTGATATAACTTTAATACATATTATTCACAACTTGGAGATAGATGTAGGTTTCATTTGTAAAAGGTACACACTATACATTTTAAAGCAGTAATTTATTTGATATTTTTCAGATTGATTTTGCAGATACATCAGAAAGCTAATTATGATTTGGTTATTTTATTTACTAAAGCTAATTGAAGCAAATACTTGTGAAGTCATTGGGGGGTGAACTATCTCCAGTTCATTAGATTAATCATGGATATTTGGGGGATATTTTTGCCATGCTGTATAGGAAGACATCAAATGAGTGTTGCAGCCATATGTTATTCGCTTGGGGCTTTCTTCCCTTTCTTCTAGATTTCTTCTCACCTTTGATTTCTTCTCTTTATATGAGGTATATCTCTTATGAGATATATTTTTTTCAAAATGAAAGTTAACTTTCTCTTTCAGTCTAGCTTGCTCTCATTTTCAACCCCTCCCTTGTTCTGTGCGGTGGGAAGAATTGAAAATGGAGGGTGGGAGATGCATGCAGAGGATTTTTCAGATCTTTTTCACTTTATAAAACCTTTTTGTATTGGAAAAGTTTGAAGAAAAATACAGGGACGTTATGGCGTCCTGTCTGTTCCCTCCTCCCCCCACCCCGACCCTTTTTTAATTTACCACTTCCAGTGTCCTGGGCAAAAATGTATATTTTTAAGCAACATGAATAAGCAACCAAAATATTTCCTTTGTTTTCTTTAATTATATTATCAAAAGAAGTTTTCACAAATAATAATACTGGTAAATAATAATAATAATAATAATAAATCTCCTAGCTCTGATTAATACTTATATAATGCTTTACAGCTTCTAAACTTTATAAGCATTAACTCACTACTGGTCACATCACCTTTCTACGGCAGTGTATGTGGCATAATGTCAGATCAACATAGAGGAATTAAAGGTGACATTCTTTCCCCACATACAAAACTTGAGTAAATATGCAAGTGGAGGTGAATCAGCAAGAGTAAGAGGAAGAATATTTCTTCCTTTATTCCTTTCCCACACTGAAGCTGAGTGGCACATGATCTGCTGCCAACATTGCACACTTTGTGGTATGTTACTGTCCCATATGTGGCATACTGTATATGCTGGTTGGTGTTTTTCCAGTAGTGATTTCAGCACAGCTATAAGTCAGCACCTCTTGCACATTGTTGCGAAGAGTGTTACCAGTCCTTGTTCATTTGTGCACAAGTTGTATAGTGAAAATGTTGCCCAGGTTAGCACTCTTACAGGATTTGGATTTTAATACCACCTTGCTATATTGACAGCTGAGACCAGTGTACAGGCTGTAGTTAACAGCCCTACTACAGCAAGAGAAGTCTTTGGGCAGGGTATTTCCCTTGTTGGTTTCTAATTGGCGGAATTTGCTGAACTCTTTAGTTCACATGATAGAACTCTTACTTTCTCAAGCTGTATCTTGTGAGAGCAGAGGAATTTAAAGTTGGGGTTTATTTTTTTCTTAGCGTCATCCCTGCCGCCCCGCCAAATCCTCTTTTCCCTCATTGTTTTCATTAGAGTTACTCCTAAAGCACATGGTGAAATGGAGAGAAAAATCAGCTTCTGCTTTAATTGATGATTTGTTTGCCTGTGCCAGAAAGACATAGGCGAAATATGGGGCATTCAGGAATATAATGCTTATGTTATTTGGCTTCTTTTTACCTTTAAAAGAGGCTAAGGACAGTTGACCTCAATAAAATCTAACATTTTAATAAAAGATGGTGTATCCAAATGGGGTATCCTAGAATGGGGGTGGAGGGGTAGGAATGAAACACACATCTTAGATTGCTTCATCTAACCACTCAAAATTCATAAATGAACTAGGTCACTGCTGAGGCTGAAATGAAACTTATTATCTGTTCTTAATTGCAAAGTTGTCGTCTTAACTTCAGTATGTCTATTCATAGGGCAGAGCAGAGGAATGTGATGAATTACTACGAATAGAAGAGGACACACAATGGCAAACCGAAGACATGTAAGTATTTATATACCTAAAAGAAATAATCCATATAATTTTACTAGATAACGAGAATAAATTCTGCTTTTAAGGAATTCCCTTATCAGCTTCTAATTCTGTATACTTAGAAGCATGATATGTATATAAATATATGTAAAATAATAAAACATATATATAAAATTTACTATCTGTAAAATGTTATTAATATAGTCAAAAGTATTTAATATATTTGTCTAAGAATGAATAATGTTGTTATTTTTAAAGGAAACACAAGTATTTTTTGGTTACTAGTAACTGACTGCCCCTATTTAAATGTTATTATAGCATTTTTTAAAGTAGATCAAACAGATCTTAAAAATAGTGATTAGAGGAAAATCCTACTGTCTTGCCCATTTTTTAATGTGCTCTACTATAATAGTATTTAATTGTGATTAAAACATTGATGATAAACCTCAGTCATTGATTAGAGTACATGCAACATAATTTAGCATGATAATGAACTCTGTATTGAAGATGCTGTAAGTTCAGGTTTAAAATCAGCATTTGCCAAATATTAAAAGAAAAAATACCTTGGTTGAATTGGCTAGTGGAGTGAAGACAGTTTCTAAATGTCTAAAAGTATTAGACATGAGAAAACAAGGTAAGGCCTGTTTTGCTCTTATCTTTTTACTTATAGAATAAGCAAGGTGTAATGCATTGTTAGTTAATATATTATTTCAGCTTCAGATCTGAGGCTGTTTAAAATCATTAAAATGCTGTACAGGAGGAATCATTATCTGCTTAGTATGTAGGGAGCTGGGGGAAGGGGGAGAGATTTTCTGAACTCACTGCCTTCACATACATCATATGCTTAATTTAAGCAGCCAATTTGAAAATATAGTCTATCAAATTAAATACTAGCTTCTCTGAAACTCATTGCAATGTCTTTGTGTCCTGTGCTTGTTTCCTGCTATAGCACAAATTCATCAGAAGAGCCAAATATTGATATAGCAATGATAGATCAGCTAAGAGAAGCAGTAGATTTATTACAGGATCCCAACAGGTATGCTCATTACACAGCAAGATGTGAGTAATGTTTGAGAGTTTTCTATAAGAGGCAGTTGCAACTCTTGAGGTCAAATCCAACACTCCCCCACCCCCCACAAAAAAACAAACCCAAAAGTATTTCTTGTATTTATTGATATCTGAAAGTGTCTGGCTGTTACAGTGGTTTGCTAATATAGAAGATGTTCTTCAGAACTGGAGTACAGTAAAAGCTGTGTTATCCAGCACTTTACCATCTGGAATGCTCTGTTAACTGGCATTTGTTCCACTGTGGCACTTCTGGTTTTGCCACCGCGAACCGAGTCCCTCTTCTTCCTTGTGGACCATGGCCCGGGGCAAAGCAGCCTGCGCAGGTCCCCCTTCCCTGCCCCCCGGCGCACTGACACCAGGGAGTGAAAGCCCAGGAACACCAGACACGGCAGGAGGGGCAGTGGCCCGAACAGGCAAAGATGTTTCCAACCCGCCAGGCTGGATTTAAGTATAACTCTCAGAGAACTGGCATATTTGATTAACCAGCACCCCCCATTCCCCATGGTTGCCGGATAACAGAGCTTTTACTGTATTAGGTGTTCTTTACCTGACAAGTTGTTAAAAAAAAAAAAAAAGGAAAGTAATTACTGTATTTACCTGAAAACAGTATGACCCTGAATTTAAGATGGCCTTCCCCAATAATTAGATTCTACACACAGATTTTTTTTATAAATGTATTGTAATTTTCTATGATGGAATCTGATTGGAGGATCATCTTAAATTAGTCCCCACCCTCCACTTACTGGCCATTGTGCCTGCCCCCTTCCCCCCACTTGCAGCCTCATTCTGCCCTAGTAAGGAGGAGTGGGGGAGGGAAGTGGGGGAAGAGAGAGAGTGAAGTAATGTTGGGGGAGGCTGGGGACTAGAGGGAAGGAGAGTGCCATAGCATGCAGAGGTGGGGGCAGGGGGCAGGTAGCAACTCTGGTTTCAGCTCCAACAGCTACCTCCTACCCCCACTTCCCATCCTGGCCCACTGCCTTATGCTTGATGGTAAGGCATGGTACTTTTTCCCCCTGTGTTAAATGGCGGGGTGGGGAGCCTTGTCTTCTACTGAAGTAAATATGGTATGTGGCATTTTTTTTAAGGAAAGTTGTGAGATGCTCCACCCTGAATGTAGGCACAGGATTCCTATGTAGTTAACAGGAACTGCAAACCTAATAGAAAAATGCAAATGAGAACGAAAAAGCATTAAGTCATCCATGCACAGTAATGCTGTATGGTGTGTTTTCTGAAGATTTGTCCAGGACAGTTTAAAATTGTTAGGTTGCATCAGGAGAGAACTGTATCAGCTCTTTCATATATTCATAATGAGAACAGGAGAAAGAGGAAGTCTTTCTTATTTGAATGGACACAAGATCAGGTTGTTTTTTATTTGCTCTATAAAATAGGTACTTAACACTAGTTAAGATCACTTAGGTCATTGAGTCCAGTCCTCTGCTATTGCAGGCAGTCGCATCATATTCTCCCTTTCATTAACTAGTAAATCTTCATTTGAAAAGTGAATTAGTTTTACTTCCCCTAGAGCACTCCTTTTGTGACAGTGTTCCAGAATTTTATTCCTCTGATGATTAGAAAGCTTATTACTTCCCAACCTAAATTTTATTTATGGCCAATTGATACCATTTTTTTTCTCGTGCCAGCATTGTCTTTAGTTTAAATAGTTCCTTTCCATATTGCATGCTCACTTTGCAAATTGTCTCCGTTTAGTTGAGAATATGAATTTACTTTGGCTGTTATTGGGCACTAGTCTCTATTAAACTGTTTGCTTTAGCTCGGTGAAGCTGTCTCCACTTGGTAAAAGAGAAAGTAACTGCACTTACTAGAAAAGCTTGTTGATATCAGTTTTGGATTCAGTTCTGCAGCATTGTATTGCTCTTGCTCTGCACCCATGGTATGCTGTTCTTAAAATTGGGGCAGATGTTGCCTTTAATTAAAAAAAAAAAAAAAATCTGTTTTAAATTAACAATTCTTAATCTTGTAAATAATTCTGTTTTTCAGTTTGACTTGCTGCTGTAAACTACATATTTCGCCCTTTCCTCCCTTCCGAACAGAGAACAGGCATTTAAAAATAAATAGACCTTTATAATACTTCAGACTTCCATTAATTTTACTTTGAAGGTTTTTGATTGATGATTTTGAGGAAAATATATTTGAACTGTTAATTTGTCCATTGGCTTGTTTATTGTTCATGATGATCACCAGTCATGTCACGCACATACAAAACCAATAGAGAGAAAAGTAGAGAAGAGATCTTGCTGTGGCCTTTTTTGAACTACTTAAATACTGTTTATGCATTTTTACATTTAGTGGTCTTTAGATACAATACAGAAGCAGTGCTGGGACCAGGGACCTAAGACTCAAGTGTCCCTGTAACCTCACACCCCGAAAGCTAGGCTTAGTCTTTGCTTACATGCTTTCTGTGGTCCCATGAATTTTGCCGCCTTACCTATTCTAATGGCCTGGCTTCATCAAGAAGGACTGAGTGTGTCCTCAGCACAGAATAACCTGTAGCCTTGTGGTTAGCCTATTCTCTTGGGAAGTAGGGGCTTCTAGGTTTGAATCCATTCAGGGTGAGGTAGCCATTGAAGTGCTCTAACCACTAGCCTCTGGTGGCAACACCCAAAACTGTGTTTTAAAAAAGAGTGAGTTACCTGTGGTGTCAGGATCAACTTAAGTGCTTTTATGAAAGAGGTGTTTGGCTGTGAATCTCAGTCTTCTATATGTGCCTTACTTAAGTGCTTCATTGCAGCCCTAAATTCTGGAGTGAGACAGGATTTCAGACATGTCCCCCTCTTCAGCATTCCTGCTGGCTGGTTTTGTCATCCTCCCATTCAGCATTCAGGCTCTTGTAAATCCCATACTGAGGCTGTCCCTGTTAGGCATAGACCTATGCCTAACCTGTGCCTGTGGATATCACTTGTAGGGGTAGACACTTACAGTATCTAAGGGCTAAGATTCTAAAATGTACTTAAGTAGGTAGTGTTTATGCTAATTAGAGCATGCATTCTGAACCCATTCATTGCTCAAGATGAGATTCCACATATGAAGCTGTGAAGCTTAAGAATCGAAATATATTTCTACAATAATTTATTAAGAATGTTAGTAAGAAATAATATGGAATAAGTTAAAAGGTAATTTAAACTGTTGAATATCTCCCTTTGCTTGAAATTAAACTCTGTAGAACATTATTAAAAGCTGTACCCCACTGCATTGTTTTTATTTCAAACTTTGCAGATTAAGCTTGGATATTACTGAGGACAGTGGTGTGAATCTGTATCCTGTGGAACCTGCAACAGCTTTAGAATTTCAGGAGTCTACAGTAAAGTGTGTTTATCTACCTTTTTAAGAAAAATAATGGGTTTTCTAACATTCAAATTTCTACACTTTACAGTTTACTGTGCTTTCTTTTTTATATTTATGTACAGTGGCCAAATGCAGACAGAAATGTCCCGTATCTATCAGGTAGGTTGTATTATATGGTAAAATATATAGTATTCACAATATGCAGGGAGGAGATGGAAAATGAGTCAACAGGTTCCTTAAATTTTTAGCTGGTTAAAATTTAAAAATGTAAATGGTAAAAATGTATGCAAATGTAGTGGTTTCAGGACAGAAATAGATGTAATTCTTTTGAAAACGTATATTTTTTTTTGTAGAACTTAAAAAAAAACCCAACATGTTACCTTGATAGCTTTTCTGGACTTTAGCTTCTAGAGGTTACCAATAGTGCTTTAATCTGCATTTGTTGTCTAGCAATAATTATTTCTGCGGTCACAACTATTTTTTATTTGTCCAAATATTTCAGCTAATATACCTTAAAAGTAGATTGATAGTCATTACCATATGTACTTGTGCTAGTTCTTTCTCTACCCACTTGCTCTGTAGCTAGAAAACAGTAAGGCACTCAAGTGTTCCTAAAGCTCTTTACAAACTACAAAACAGAAAAAAAATATTTATCTTATTGCTACACCGAATTATAATTAGACAACAATTTGGAACATAATTTAGTATTTGTTGCTTACTATTTGATGTATATCCTGTCCAGTAAACTGTTGGTATTCCTTATAGAATTATTTGTTCAGACTTCCAAAATTGTCTGCTTGTAACCACTTATACTGACCATCTTTCATATAGTTTTCCTCCCTGTTTGTTCTTCCTAGTATTTCTTAGACTTATTTTTGAGAGCATGCTTTGGAAGAGTTGTATGTTTGTTTCTCTTCACCAGTAATATGCATAAAATCTAAATGGGTATGTATGTTACAGGAAGAAAATGCTGAGAAGGAATTTGAATTCCAAAAGACAAGGGGATTGATTATGGAGAAAACAAAAGTGGAGGCCAAAATTACATTTGAACAGAATGAAAAGCAGCCATTAAGTCAGGTATGGGTGATTCTGGGAAAGTATGTTTATCCAGCCATAGGAGTCATTTGAAGGGGGACTTCCTGGAAGAAATTCATTGACATATACAGTAATGAGAAGAGAAAACCTGATTAATTTTGTGAACTAGGCCTTGATATGGATCTCAGGGTTTATTTTTAGAACAAAAGTTAAAAAGAACTAGTTTCTGAAGGAGAGAAATGGAATTAAGGACATCCACTCATGGGAGGAATATTTGTATATTGGTCCTGTACATTTTTGTCCTAAGTTTCATTCTGTAGGGCAGGTGAGGACACTTGACATGATTGGATTCTCAGTAATATTTAAAAATAATGCTCCAAACTTTGTATGGTCCAAGGTTTTTATAAATGCAGTATATAAAACTCAATAATTTCATTTTAAAAAAGCAAACTAATTACTTGCTGAGATATTAGTTTGACTTCAGGGTGTCCTGGTTTTGTGTGTACCTATGTTGGTCTTCCAATATTTAAGAATTATGAACATTATTTTTAATTCATATATTTTTAGTGTCCTGAATTATTGGTTTCTACTGTGTACAGTACTTGCAACAAGAATTAGAGAGCATAGTAATATGTTCTTCCCACTCCTGTTCATTACCAGTGCCCAGTATTAGGAGGTCTGTTTTTATAGTTGTCCGCATCTTTGCTTTTGCTCTGAAAGATGTATTTTAGTAGTTCAATATCATAATTTTCTTCTGTTTCCCATATCAGAACTCAACTTGTATCATATCCTGCAACAATTTGAAACACATTCCAAGTGCATTATTCATACTGTAACTAATGCTAGTCTGCTTCAGAATATTTTTGGTTTTTCCACAGTACTGAATTTTTATAAAACAAGATGTTCAATGCTTTTAGAAGGATCTTGATTTCTGAAATTTAATCCTGAAATGTGCTAATACCTTAGAAATTGAGAGTGCTCTGGATTTGCCAGTGATGCCAAATGGGAGTTGGAGGCACTTGTTGTTTTGCAGGAGTTAGCCATCTTGTCATGAGGAAAGACAGGCAGCTGTATATTGTATGCAATAGAAAATACTTTATATCAACAGTGATGGGCACAAATTTAGATATATGATTAACAACTTATGTAGACTAAAGCAGAGGTTTGGGCTGTAATGTTGGCATGAATAGTATGTCTGTTAAAAGCTATGGCCCCCTTTAACCTGAGGAGTTGCTGTCTTCAGACAGAATATATATGAGAGTGGGATCTGATGTCTAAGAATCATTCTGGTTCCGTGTAGAGAGAAGGGCTGAGGTAAGACCCTGAGAGTTGTCCTTTGTTTAAAGCCAGGGGAAAAGGCTTTCTCTCCTAGCTTGTTGAGAATTAGAAACATTTCTCGTGTCTGGGACTGATTGTTCCGAGTTACTTTTCTTTTGTTTCAAATCTTTTTGTGTTTATAAAGTTGGCCCTGAGGAAAGACCTTGGACTGAACTGTAGTTTGGCCTTCACTTTATCTTACCTAGATGATGTTTCTACCCATTGGCTTACATATGCATCATACAGCATTTGTACTTGTAACCTATTTTATCAAATATGCAATACACATTGTCAGTCTAATCATAGTTAAGGCATCAGCAATGGATAAGATTGTTATACTATTATTGTATAACTAACTCCTGGCAAATCACTTCCTGTCTGTAGATCTGTATTAAAATATTTTTGCTTGCTACTTGTTTTAATTACGACCTTGGTAAAACACCTTGAAATACTAACCTCTCTGCTCTTGGACCAATTCTGTCTTGAAAGATTATATTACATTCATTTATGAGTCTGATGTACCAACAAACTTGCATATAATAGGTTACTGGAAGAATGCTTTTATTTTGTTGCCAAACAAAGAAAAATAATTGGAAAGTTTTCTCTTCTTAAAAAAATTTGCTAGCTTTTTAAGATTAGAAATATAAACCTGTCCTTCTTCAGGGAAAATCACTGCTCGGTGAAAGATTAACAAATTAATAGCCATCTTAGTCAGTATATGTGCTTTTCCATTCCAAAAATGGAAATGGGTGTATCTCTGCTAATTTCAAGAGCTAACTGTAGTGCCTCTTCCTCTTGAGCACCTCTTCGCTCTGATACTTTTTGATGAAAATAGAGATATAGGGATACCCCCAACTTAGGACATAAATTTTCTTAAAGAACAAAAATCCTCCTTAGAAATGTGTTGAGTGATAGACAGACATAACAACAGTATCCATATTAAGAGATACTAATAGTTGCCATGATGCAGTTGTTGCCTCTGCATGTTTCTGTAATGATGTAAGTATAGCAAAACTCCTGCAGCTTTAATCCGGTTTCATTCAGGATCCAATTTAAATTGATTTAACTGACTTTTTGTTTGATACAGGATCATAAGGCTATAAGTTAGATCATAACAGCTGAAGTGTGCTTTCAAGCAGCACTCCTCTCTGTCTTTAAAGAGGTTAATATTTACATTTGTCCATACCCTTAGGTGTCAGGTATTGTGCTTGTACAAGAAATGTACTTATTGTACCATTCTGTTTTTTTAAAAATACACAGAATGATCTGATTGTTTGGAATATAGAAGGACAAAGTTCTCACAATGAGGTAGGATGCTACTGTTGTTTGTGCGTCTGTTACATAAGACATGATTTTGATTTACATATTGTCAAATGACACAGTGACTTTAAAAATACAGTACCTACAGTTAGCATGTCCCAGCTGTATTCAAGTTAAATTCATTCATGATACTCTTTTAGCTGTACTTGCCTATTTCATTTGGTCATCTTTTTCATAAATGTTTGAGAAAACCAGAAACTACAACCCTGGAGCTATTGCTGATGTCATCCACAGCATGTTTATATGCAAGGATATGTATACCTTTTTTTTAATTTCATTGTATTTTGTCAAGATTCATTCTTGTGCTGAGTAGTGCCCATTGATCCCATGTGATAGACCATTTATTTCAGGGGACATACATTTACAGAACAGATTAGATTCCAGCAATCATCATCCTGTATTATGGATTCCATTCACCCCTATTATCCCCATCATGAAGCCCTTGCCAAAGGAGATGAAAGCTCTGAGGTTTTCCTTGTGGAGATTTGTCCTTTGTAGTTTCATTGGGCAGCCAGTGCTTTCTCCCCCATTTTAACATGGTGCAAGTGGCTCACAAATTCTGGGAATTACCAGGGGAAGGGCATGATCATTGATAACATTGGGCTCTTTTGCAAATTTCTGCCCATTTTCTGTCAGCGTAATTCCATAGAAGCCTTAGTGATTGAACTTCCACTTCCTCTTGCTATCCCAGGAGGTCCTTTTTAAGGCTGATTTCTACCACGTGTCTGTATTATCTAATTTTGACTAGTGTTATGTTTGACACTCACTTATGCCCTCCCATACCTTTACTATTTTTCTGCTTCATGCTTGGAATCTTCAAACCTAGTTCAGGTTGCAAGGGGTAGGTATGATGCCTTGATAAGTCTGATTAACATTCTTCTTTCTGCTTTTTGCTGCTAAACTACAGTTGGGTTTCCCTTTTGCAGAATATCATAGCTTGTGGGAAACACCTTTAGACAGGAAGAGAAATGCTGTGAAAGAACAGAATGTCCCTAATGAAGTGTTTTTTTTCCCCTTATTTACTCTAAAATCCTTCACTGTAGTTATGAATTAGTGTTTATGTAAAATGTTTATGCAATAATAACAGAGATGCTGTGATAGAAAATTGAGAAATAATCAGAAGTAGTTAGAATAAGAGTAAATCCTGTGGTCTTTTCTCAGAAACCACTTTGCAGTCATTTTATGGAATTAGGAGTGAATTAGATTTACAGAATTCGAACCTATAACCATGAAACACAACAAGTTTTTCCCTAAAACTGTTATTGTTAATTTGTATTTAAACAGCAGCACGAAGGTATGGTATACAACACTTATTCTTATCTGTTTTTTTGAAACACAGGGTAGGGACAGCACTCCACCTGTATCTCCTACTACAAACAAAACCGCTCCATTTGGCCTCAAGCCACGATCAGGTAATGTGGGAAAGAAAAAATTTCAACAGCCTACTTTTACTGGCAAACTCAAGAATACTTGCTGCTTTTAACTTGTTCCTTTTCAACAGGAATTAATAAAACTCTTCACTTTAACATGTGTTTATTGATGGTGAATACTCACCTACAGTAGACATTTGATAAGAAACAAGGTGAAAACTCTGTCCCTAATATCCTTTGAAGAACTGCAGTGTTAAATTCATGAGTTTGAGAATGTACTTTAGCAACACTAAGCTTTCAGCATATTTGAATGGGTTATTTTTTATATTGTATTTATACAATTAAATCATTTTGTCTACCTGATATGGTACTTGGGGGATCCTGTATTTATCTTGTTGGCAGGTATGGAAGTATTTTATAGCTGTGTATGTATAGTATGTATGAATAAGGTTCATTTTGTTAATTATAGCACAGTTGCTATGGAAATATATTCACAAGCCTTTCAACAGGAGTACATATGTTAAAAAATAAATAGAAATTAATATAGGTGTGGGTTTCAGAATGAATCCGTGATGCGTTAAATCTGCATAATTATTAATATTTCAACAAACATAGAAAAGTTCATAAGAACCCATTTTAACTATCACGGTGTTCGACTGCTTAAGGAGTTCAGAATGAACAAATTCACTTTTTAAATATGGGATCAGCACAAGGATGACTAAATTTTTATCTTCTGCTTGCTAAAATAGCCAATATTGGAAATCATCTCACATTGTCTCTTAAGAAAAACATAGCCTATTCAGATTTTTCACTGTTTCAGCTTCCTAAGACTAATTCTGGTTTCTCTCTTTCACCACTAATACCTTTAATTGAATGCTGGTAAACTACTAGAAGGTTGTAGTTTTCATAATAAAAAATATTTTGGCAAAAACAGCAGCAATTTCATATTTGAATGTATTTTAAGAAATTGTACCCATAGAATTTAGTAAAACAAAACAAGTGTTTTAATGAAAACAAGGAAAAAGATTTTGAACATTTACTGTGTTATACATAGGGTATTTAAAGCCACTGTATATTTTATATGCAAATTAAGCAGGATAATCAAAAGATGTGAACTAAACTGAAGTGCAGACATTCTTGTTTTGATATTTAGGTTATGGATCTTATTGTGATTCCTAGTGTGAGCCTTGTACAATTAATGAACTGTATGTATGTATTAATGAACTTTTCCAGTGAGAGTTGGTTCATTTGATACATCTGTAATCTTTCCAGTTAATATGATTTTGCTTTTAAAGCTTTCTTCTCTGCTTAATTAATGTTCTTAGTTATATGCCTTATTGCTGCAAGGCTAGTATTGGAAGCCAAGTACGCTGTGTAATCCTGTAAAATGGTTCAGCTTGATGTAAAATTGAGGTTAAATAGCATTCTTGGTTAAGTAATCTGTAACCTTGTGGGAAAGAACTTTTAAAAATGCACTGAAATAATCATTTTAGCTATTTAGTTGTATGGTTTAAATTGTATAGGAGCACATAATTCAATAACAGTGCAAGATGTGTTTTGAAATTATTTTAACCAGAATTTGTAAATCGTATTCTAAAAACAAAAACAGAGAAGGATATCTGAAAAAAAAGAAAAGAAAATGCCTTTGGGGATAGTTAAGTTTTTTCCAACAATCTATAGTCAGTATGCCCTCAGCAGATTCTTGTTGTGTTTTCCTGTACGGTTCTCCTTAAAATTTAACAAAGTAGCCTCTATCTGGCTATTTTTATTGTTTTTTAAAAATGTGGGTCTATAGGATAGGTAGTGATAAATGAAGTACTGGATTTCTAGTAATGATTCCAGCTCTGCACTGCATATACAAAGCAAAGTGCTTTCAAAGGATAAATCAATACTAAACCTGTGTTCCTAACTAAAAGTCCTTTTATTCCTATAGCTTAAATCTAGCCAAAACAAGGAAAACCCTGTATCTGGTGCCTAATTTGGTGTCCAAAGAAAATGTTTTTCAAAAAGGTAATGAATATTCTTTCCCTGGCTCTTGACAGTTAGCATTTTAAGAGGGTCAGCCTGCTATAGAGAATATAAAATGAGGTTCACTAGATTTCGAATTAGACTTTTTTCATATATGCTTCATGAAGAGCAGACTCTTCCAGGTCACATAAGTGATTGAGGAAAATGCTTGAAAGTGATGAAAAGTATAAGAAACCAAGTAATATAACTTTCCCTTAAACAGTAATTTTGCTGCTATGAAATGCTTTCATGCCTGAAGAGGAAAAGATTCAAATCAGTTCATGAATTTTATCTTTTACTCTCCATTTATGTGCAAATCAATACACAGTTAATATCTGCATCATTTTAAATACATTTGAAACATTTCTTCAACTGCTTGCTATCATTTTCATGTTAAAATCTCAACTTTACTCAGAATTTGGATGTATTCACACCTCCTACAACTTTTGTGGCTTTTAGAAGTATACATTCCTACTTCTGTTTTGTGCCATTTTTTCATGACTTTTGCTGAATGGAGTGACTGCCAAAACTAACTAACAGAGGAGCAGTTATTGTGTCCTCAAAGGTCACCTGAAGTTCTAGCAGAACTGTAAGATACAAAACCATTTACAGTAAAAATTCCACAGGAAATGAAGATATGCTACAATATATTTAATTAAGCAGAACTCGAAAACACATCTGTCTGAAATACTTTAATTTTTATCTCTATGAAAACTTTTAGCTTACAAATTGCAATGGAGAAACCAAGTAGGAAATAGCAGTTGAGAAACAATTAAAACCATTCATATACAGTCATAATTTTTGTTTCGTGCACCAGTTAGAAGAAGAGTAACTATCATCCTCCTTTTGATTATGATGTTTGCTTTCTCCCCAGCAACTGTTTTGGATGATATGTATACTTTGGAAAAGAGATGTTAACAGTACTGAAAGTTTTTACTTCAAGCCCATACTCCAGTGGAAGGTGTTGATTTACTGAGAGAACCATTAGGCTTTGCTGACTTGCTGATACAGCTTGACTTGTTATCCCAGAAGGGTGTAAGTGAGCTGGGAGTAGCTAGAGCCAGAATAAGCTGGGGTTTGGAACAAATATGTCCTAAGAGAATAAACCTTAAGAGTAGCCATGCCTGGAGAGAAGATTGTGTGGCATTTCACATGGTATTATTTCTGAATTAGCTTTTTTTTCTTCAGTCAGATCACAGAAATGACAGTGCAGGTTTTGGAAGGGGATTTTTTATTTTGAGTCTGATTGCATACATTTATTTGGGCTGGAGCAGGGATTGTTTGTTACTAATGCTGTCTTTGCCTTTTTTACATGTTAATATTTAAAAAAACGCTTCATTTCACTGATATTCAGGATTGTTTTCTAAACTAAATACTAGTTTTGATGTGTATATTGAACCTTGTTTGATACAAGGGACTTTCCTGTTTTCAGTTGAATTAGCAAGGCAGCTTGGTATTCAAAACAGCAGCTGTGATAGGTCTGGGGAGGAAGGTTTTCCATGTGTAAAGCATATGGCAATAGGGTTTGCAAGCTTATATCATTGGTGCAGCAGACAAGACAGGAGGCCATGTGGAAAGATACTAAAGTGGCTTGGTAGAGAAGGGAAGGGTATAGTTGTGAACAGTTTGGAAAACAAGGAGAAGGAGGTGGAAAACAATCAATCAAAGGCAAGTTACATTTTCAGAGTGATCTGCTAAGATGATCTTGAACAGCTATGGTTTGTAAGGATTATAGGGAGCAGTGAGAGTTTTGGAGAAGCTGGAGCAGAGGTGCTTCTGCTAATCAGTATGGAAAACCATGGGCCAATTAAATGAGAAGGTGAAGGAATTGAGGAGGTGATTTGATGGATTTGAAGAGTAAGCAAGAAGCTCTGATGTGGGAGGAGCAGATGCAGTTTACCAAAGAAGAAGGAAGAAAAGTAGAATGGAAGATTGGAGGAGTGGTGTCATTGTCAGTCATCTCTGAAAGAATCTGCAAGGTCTTGTGTGAAGGAGGAGGGTGCAGGGGAAAGGATGATTTAAGTGAGAATCATGTGGGACTAGCACAGCAGATAAGGCAATATGGAAAAGGGGGGAGGAAATGCTTGAGTTGGAAACAATAATGCTGAAGACAGAGAATAAATGTGGTCACGGGGCTGTCTTCACATAGGAATATCACAAGGTTAATGTAATGACCACTAGTTATATAACAGACAGTAGGAGCCATTTTTAAAATTAAAAATAAACTCTTACTAGTTTTATTGAAAGTCTGTGTCTGTTCCTTTCTGTGGAAAAAGTGCCCTTTGCTTAAAGGGTGCAAGAGATAACTGTACATTTAGTCTCTGTTTTTTTATTTGCATTGCTACAGCTGCACTGTTGAAAAAAGTTATCAGTTCACAACATCAAGTTTTACACTTCTTTTGCCCACACTATTTCATCTATGGGTACTTTTTCTTAATAAATGCCAGCGGTAAACATAATTGTGTTGAGCACTATGGTTGCAATGATCTTTTTAAGATTAACAGCATTAACTGCTTATATAATGTATGATTTGCAAGTACTAACATTAAATTTTTCATTCTTTTTATTCTGTGCACCATCTTTCATTCTTTTCTTCCAAAATTATACATGTTATATTAATCACATTTGAATGGCATCCTCCTCATTACCATGCAATCCTAATACCACATATGAAATGCTGCTGCCCCCTCTGGTTTACCCTGGTCCTTGTACCTACTGTGTATGGACTGGTTCTCACCCCTTCCCTACTCCCCACAGACCCATCCCTCACTCTTCCTCCTGTCTCCTTCGACACACTTACACAGGCACAAACATGGGACAACTATAGCTACAGTATCCCATCTGAAGGAGACAGTGACAATGGTAGGTGATACAAAAATATATATGTATATACTTATTCAATTTTTATGTTTTCAGAAAACTGAATTTACTGTGTGTTTGTTTGTGTGCTCCCCACAGCTAAGGATGTAGGACAGGCAGTTGCATGCTTAATGTCATGGGTATTAAAACTAGGGGTTAAAAAACAAACACTTAGGTGAAGCATGTTAATTACTGTTTGGTATGTATATGGGTACTGTTTTTACTCAAATACAAGATGAGGTTCCCCTACCTCCCACCCCCATTTGGCATGGGGGTAAAATGCTCTTGTCTTATAGTATTATACAGAGATCCTGTATACAGATATAGTGGTATTTTATTTTAATCATGGAAATGTGGATTTTGGGTTACTCTTTTAATCTGAAAATTGGGGATTTTTTTTATTAGAGAAAACCAGGGTCCTTGGACATATACAAGGAAATTTCATTAAATACGTTATCTATCATTAAACTGCTGCCAAAAGCAACATGTTCTCCGCAA